ACCATTTCAAGCATCCATCTTTTCATGAAGCTAATGGTGGGGCACCGATCTACATGTAATCGCCATCAGCCAGGGGTGCCCTTTTTAAAGGCAGAGCCGACACGGCAATTTAAGAAGTAGTCTTCTGTACGATTAATCAACTTCTGAAGGAAAGAAAGATGAATGACCCGATCGAGCATCTAATCAGGAACCTTTCGGTTCTGGATCTGAAGCTGTACCCAATGCGAAATTAAATGAGCTTACATCCGAAATCTTTATATATACTCAAACTTGCAGAAATTTATTGCAGAACGATGGCTTAAAATATATAAAAAAACACGCTCTGAATCATAAATGATCGGTCGATAGCAAGTAAAATGAAACAAGGCGAATAAATGCCGCATTATAAAACGGCGTAAAAGTCGAATAATTAAAATGTTACTCCGTGTTCTCAAGTTCAATGGGTTAAGAAACAAATATAATGTTAAATAATAATTCAATGAGTTTCCTCGCGGTACTACGTTGTGTGGTGTTACCAGAGGTGTCAATCTTGGACATAACATTTATGCCCCATACCACAGGTCCAGAAAATATGCTGAATCAGAGACTCAGGATTGTGAAGAACAGTTTAAGTAATCAAACAAATACTTTAAACCATTACACATTGAATAAAGTATATAAAGTACTTCGACTCATGATCATATGATCATATAAAAATATCGAAAGATTCAAAAGTAGTCCATTTTTAAAAATCAACCGGAAGCAACAGCAGCTGCGAAAAATCGGATCTGATTGTCTGAGGTTTGCGGTGTGGAAATCATTAAGTATATCAGTAAAAAATCATTCATCAAATTATACCACAGACTCCTCTGCAACTTTCGAGTTTTAAGTAACAGCTGGTTCTCTTATCCACGAACCTCCAAGACAGCTACACTTCCAAAAAACTGGTCCAGAATCGAAAGTATCAAATCGTATTCATACTTGAAAAAGTGAATCATCTGGTGCCATCTGCGACAAAGGTATTTTTGGCTACAGAATATACGAACAGAAGAAAAGTACGGACATTCACATCCTGGGGACTGCTTATCTGTCCAGCAGAGCAGGAGTGGAAATAAAAAGTTGTGCAAAGGTCTAGAGCTTTTACAGGATGCAGTCAAAATGACAAGGATAAATACAGGGAACAAAGGGAGCAAGGAAATGATGACAACTCCGAGGAAGTAAAAAATAATTAATAGGTAAACGTTTTTCCAATTATGAACTGAGCAACATAATCTATAGAGCGTCGGGCTCACCATCGAAGAACTGAGGTCTGAATCCCGGCTATTTATCCATTTGACGCAGATGAACGACTAGGAAAAACAGTTACTGTTATTGTCGTTTTGTCATCACCATTAAAAACTAGCAAAAATTAAAGAGCAAGGTAACCGAGGATTAAGTCTGGTCTGTATGCTATGCTAGCCTTCGTAATGAAGCAACTCCTAACTGGTAGCATCCTTGTGCAGTTCATCCTAGAACCAAAAGTTACATGAAGGAAGGACGATATAGGCAGAAAGTGTATTCAAAGTATATGGGAGGCCGATACCCCAACGGTTACAAAATGAACGATCACCTCACATATGCGTCCGTGATTAGACCGCCAGGAAACTTCTTCTCCGTGGTTTTGGTACGAAAAAGGAATTCTATTTGAATGCCATCTATCAGGGTTATAAACTAGCGGATTCCTTCGTCCACGTGACCCTTGGATAGACTCCTGTCACAGACATTTTTCTGCAAACGCTGACAGACAAATTCATAAAACTATGAGGAAGAACTCGACTATCCGATTGCTGCATTTAAAATAATAAAATAAGAAAAATACAGACAAAGCCAGAAGGCGAACTTTCAGTCAATGTTGTTAAGTACCAATCGCTGTCAACAAGAAAAGGCCTTTAGAAATCAGTCAACCCACCTGTCTACCTTGAAGAAAACCCATTAGGCATGGGCCGAAATGTCGGTCGGTAATGGTTACTCATTCGATTTATTAACTGTATGCGTCGTGTATAAATAAATCGTTTGTGAACATTTGCTCGTGTTCAAAGACAACAGATCATGCCATTCCGGGATATCACTGATTAAACATCAGTAATATACCGACTCGTAGAGCCTAACTCACGATGATAATATAGAGTTCAGATCTGAGTTCGAACGACGAACCAACTCCGCATTTCGTAATGGTTAAATGTTCCGAAAAGCTCCGGCATGGCTATCATTCAACTGATCGACCAAAATTTTATTCAAAATGGTATTTGGCCGTTAAATACAGGCCTGAGCTCGTTCGTAGCAAAATCCGATTCATGATAGCTTGTGGCCCTGTATTTGAGAATGCATCGATAGTTTCACACACGATCGACATCGTGTTGTGTACTTACATCTGAAGGAAGTCCACACAACTCTGGCGATTGGTGAATAGCGGTTCGCGCTTTCTCGAAGATGCCCATTTCGAATCGAGCAACACGTCCACCGCCTTGCAACCTGCATGAATGAATGAACGAAGAAGCGACGACATCGACAACATACCAGCGAAATACGACACTTCGTCGCCGAAACAGACGGTCTTCTTGCACGGACACTGGAAGCGCAAGTACTTCGCGATTGCGTACACCTCCTTTGACGGTTCCTCTGCGTAGTCGACTTTCTATAACCATACAATACAACGTAGTGATGGTAAACAGGAAAGAGACAAAAAGCTGTGCAACGCCATCGGCCGGCACTCGCTCATCGTCTGTTACGTCAACAGATTTCAATAACCACCGCAAAGATCATATGTCGTTTTTCATCAGAAACACAAAAGCGCAACCGATACGATACAGAAACACTTAGCTCACCTTTTCGCGGCGTTTCACTTTTACCTTGCGTCGTTCAGCCATTAACCGTTCTAAATTAGCACAATTCAAAATGACCCAATCGAAAAACGTCTACCGCGCCCCGAATCTAAGCGTTACTCATCAAATAATAGCCATACAGCTACGTCACGAAACGACTCACAGGAGTCACCGACACTTACCGCTACTGGACAATTGTCATGATATTACCAACAGCCCATACAATAATTCGAGGTAATCCTGCACCACACCCGTTGTTCAAAACATTAGCTTCTGTCAAACAACAAGATTTTCAAGTAATATTGCCCATCAGGTGACTGAACATGAGAACGTCCAATTCAATTCTGTTCCATTATAATGCAATCAATAAATCCTATTATTCTGACCAGTCGGGAAATGTAGAGACTTAAAACTACACCTAGTTTATCTTCTTCAGGCTCCTGAAACTTTTCGATTCTGTAGGAAATGTAAATCGATATATTACAGCTAGAAACTCATGTGCTAAACAGCGATCGAAGCGCCTGAAATTCACTATGTTGTCGTTCATCGCGTCTTATAGAGACCTTTCCCAAAACTTTTACATAGTTTCTACGAAAGAGGTAATCTTTATACTGTGTTTAATCTATTGGTAAGTATATTCATGTGGCAGACATTTTTTCCGGCTTTAAGGTGTTCTCTACAAGAAACGTGGAAGTTCTTCATCAACTGCCGATGTTTAGAAATTAGATTTTCTCTGTGTTTCCTTGAAAAACTGAAACTGCTGCACTCGTTGACAGTTTCCTTCATTCTGTCAATATGGCTGAAGTTGTTCAATGTCCATTTGCAATAGCAACTTCTTCCTGGATATATAATCGCAATCATGCAGGTCTTTGTATTGCTTCCGATAAACGAATTCTGCGGCACAAAAAATAGCTTGCGGACATCTGCTCTGTTTTCTTAGAATCAAAATTCTTTCCGAAGGGCGATGATAATTATAATACGTAGTTCTGCAATTTCGATCATAATACGTATATTTCGCTTCCATCTTTGGAGCTCTTAACGCTGGCGAATTTATCATAAAGAGGTGTCTGATATAGCGAATGAGATGTCATGGTGGTATGCAACAGGTAGTCCAGGATATTGTTGATGTCATGACAGCAGCGGTACTTTATTTTAACTCCTTTAAGTCGTTCAGTGCTAGTCAAACCCAAGCTGCTACACCATCAACTTTCTCTTCACTGTCGGTTATAACTAAAATTTACTTCAAATCAGCAGCGCATTATAACCAGGATCCTTTATTGCCCTGTAAATCGGGCAGCTTATTTGCATGAGAAACTGCACAGTAGTTGATGACATTCCCTTTTACCATGCTATCATCTTATATACTCTTGCTTACTCTTCTCTGTCAATTTGCTCGGCTTGTGGGGGGCGATCATCAAGAATTCTTCCGAAAACCCTCTCTTGCCTTTGAAATGTCATAGCATATTAAAATCTGAAATCATAATCTGAAGGGAAAATACCTCTCAGTTCAAAATTTTTGAACGCCGTCTTTTAGAAGCAGCAAACTCCTACCGATTCTGCCATTTCCATTAGTATCTCCTTATTCATGGACCTGATCTGCAGTAGGAACATTTCCGACATAATGTAGGTGAATATTCAGACAAAGCTGTGGAGATCAGTCGGAGCATGTTGAATTGAAAGAATGCGTTCAGAAGTTTAGTACCAGAATGAATTTGTCTATAAACGAATCCTGCAACATAAAAGAATCAGCTTAAAAGCTCGAATCTGCAAATAACAAATACATTCCAGTGCCTGATTTTGAATACATTTACACCTGATAATGCACGACAATGCGTAGGTGCTATTTTCATTGCAATACCGTCAATGCTAATAGCTTCCACTCGTTAGATAAATGGAAAATTCAGTACATTCAACATGGCCGCTTGAATTGCGATCTATTTATTCAATTCTCCGCATTTCTGTTCATTCCGTCTTGTTTATTGTGGATGATAAGGTTTGTTGTTCGTTCCATCATGACCCAGTATTTTAACCGTGCCTGGTTGCTTGTGAATATATTCCTCAGGCCTGCCTAAAGAGATTTCATTTCTGACCATGTTTTCATTCGGTGCATATTTTTAATGGCACGAACTGCAGAAAAAAATTCACAACATTTTTGTAAATTTGAGTGGCTTCCATTGCAGTTGTATTGTCACCTTCAGTTTTGTTCTTATTGACGCGGGTTCGTTCACATTCCCGTTATCGGAATTGGCATTAATGGAATTTTACACACTTTTCGGTTTATCCGGTTGCATGACCGGACAACGCGTAGGGAACCTAGAGTGCAGAATATTAAGAGAACTTCAGAGGTTTGATGAACGCGAAGAATTGCTTACTTGCGATGTGATTAAATAGCTATTTTAGCTGCCCTTACGTTTACTTTTTACCAGAGTGATTCAAATCTTTCTTCTGAAGAAAGAGTTACGCTTTCAGCGAAAATCCGTTAATACCTTGCCTCTATCGGGTCAGTTATTATGTGGCATGGGGACAGTTGTTCTAACGAAGAAGCAACAACAACGGTGGGGATGCGTACAGCAGCGTTGGCTTCGATGCACAATGACAGTTAAATTACAGGACCACACCAAATGATTATATTCTCTTTTGGGCATATGTAACTTCATTAGATATAGAGATTAAGAAAACTAGGCTAGACAAATTGGTTGAGTATACTCCCTTTACGCTAGCTTGTCAGCGGATCGTGTAGGAGCCGGAACACTATGGGGGCCGACCAAGAGGTCAGTGTGGAAGATGAAGGAACAAAGTAGAGGGGATCAGCTTTCTGAAATGATCATTTCCTTTATCTATACAGTAACTAGTGTTTTTTATGGCAGCAGTGTTAGAACGCTGCGATTACAGCGGGTATCATAAACCAATGACGTCCTGCTTATACAACAGCTCAAAACAATGACCTCAGCAAATAACAACAACCAAGATCGATTTTTAACGCTCCAATGCCCTTTCCTTGACTCCGTCGCATTCCGTATGGCGGCATATGGTGCCAGTGTGCGAAAGTGGCGTTTTCGAAACAAAGAGGGCAGATCCGAGGATGATGTTCGATGAGTTGCAATATACATCCATCGCATGTCGCTCTCCGCCCAGTATAAGTTCTTCATGGGCGATCTAATCGTCATGCTTGAGTTGGGGCCGTTCAGAATCGTAAATGGAGATTTTGGAGCAGAACGCTGGTTGGTATCAGCTCTTAGTCCTGCAGTTGAAGCATTGAATCGGTGTAATTGGACAGTGGTCAGCTGCATCCGTTGTGTGATTCAGCCCATTATGTTATATATCAGTGGATAGTTCTTGATGAGTGAAGCACGATGCCTTTGTCAAACTATGACTCCATCGTGCTGACCGCGCGAGGTTGCTCAGTCAGCGCGCTGTTATTTGATCGTGAATTAGAGTTAATATAATTGCAGGTGGTCACCTGTATCAATTACTTGATTTAATCCATCACATCATAGATCGTTCTTAAGCTCTTAGTTCGCAGAATATAAACTTTCGTCACGGTATCAATTTCAAAGTTCGCATCTTCGTCCGACGACTTCACTATGACTATTACGCAAGCTCATTAAATCAGCATGACTCAACGCTAATATCAATAATCGCGATATTGAATTTATGAAACTTTCAGAAATTTATCTCTGCTTCCTTTATGATTAATTTCAAGCAAAAAAAACAGAAAGCAAGGAAAGAAAAAGTTCTCTCTGAGGGTAATTCGAAAGCTTTGTCACTGCACTGAATTAGCACATAGCTCCTACCTGAAAATTCCCTTATGCCATTTTCAAATACGTCTACTATACATCGTTCATTATATTGTACCAACCTGTCCACTAGAAGTAGATAATAGCATTACCAATCTCTTACATAGAATTATAATTTAATTTTTGAATATCAGCTGTGTAAAACAGTCAAAATCAAAGAACGTTGAATTCAAAGAAGGCAAAAATTAGATTCCTTCATCAGGGAAGCTATTTTTATCACACTAAACACTACAGTACTGCACCATTTCATATTTACGCGCTAGCCCACGAAAAAAAGTAATAAAGTCCCTATTGTCATAATCTTTTACAATAGATTTTATTCTTTGATCCGCGTCCTGATATTTTATCATTTTGACTTGTAGCTGACGACCGACAGCAAGTTGTCTGTCGTATATTCCTCGACCCTTCTGCACTTTACGGAGTTCATCAATTAACTTCCATGCCGACTAGTATGGCATTCCCAATTCGGCCTGAATTCGTCAACAGGCTGCCTCCGCTGGTCATTCACACGGTCTTCACTTTGGATCACAGGAAAATAAACTGATGACATTTCTTATGGAAACAACGCCGGACGTCTTGTGTTTCCTCTATGATTAAAGCGACCGATGTAGTTGTCTTGGAACCACCCAAAAACGGCTGAAACTCGCTGGAAACTTCTTCCACCAGTCTGTCGATCGCTTGATCTAGTTCAGCAAAGGCTACAAATGACAACCGTTTTATTATCCTCGCATTCAAGACAAAATCAGCATCGGCATTACAAGCACCAGGTAAGTGCAAGTCGGAAAATGTTTTTTCATATTGCAATTCAGATGGCAAAGCCAACCATGAAGTTGAGAACATATGGGAACTCGTTCTTCCTTGCGTGAATCGGTGCAATTTCGAAATTTTGCAAGCAATCGAATCCACATGAATTCTGGTACCGCTGCTTTCATCATTTGAAAGAACATGTATTACATGGCTGTTTGGCAAAAGCGCAGAGACAACAGGATGACATCACAAAATCATTCCTCCAGCACTGGATAAATTCATAAAAACAGTAGCGGCGGAAGTCGAAATGCTCCATCTTCAAACCACGTTCTCGATACCCTCAAGATCCGCAGGTTTCCCTGAGTGCCACATATGATTATTCGATTAGTTCCAGGTCCACCGTCACCAATCAAGAACTATTCGAAAGGACCTGGTTGCAACTCGTATCTTTGATACGATTCCGGTAAATCCAATTTTTTAAATTCAGCCGAGTGCTGAAGT